AGATAGGAAGGGAAAGCCGCTGGGGTATGAGCAAAATCAGGGGAAACAAAGTGCACTGCGAAGAGATAAACAGGAACTCCAGGGTTGGGGTGGGATGGGAGGGTCTGGCCTGAGGGGAGGGGCAGAGGAGAGAGGAGAAGACGGGATGTGTCTGTGTGTGCGTGTGTAGCAGGGAAGGGACAGAAGACAGCACAGATGGCCATCCCCAGTGGTACAGCGGTCAAAGAACTCTTAGTGACCCAGCCGTACTTGAGTGCTATAATCAGATGATGAAGCAAACGGATGGTGGATGGCAGGAGCCAGGTTTCTCACTGGGAGGAGCAAGGGAGGGAGCTAGAGGGATCCATGTGGCAATGCACCGGAGTTGGAGACATTAGGAGGAATGCATTCTGGGACTGGGGCGGGAAATATACAAGATGAACCTAGAACACTTGCAGCGGCAGAAAGTAAGGATGATGGATTGGATAATTAAATAATTGGATATTTATGAATGGGTTTGATGAGACAAAACTCCCTTAATGAAGAATTCTTAATAATTTATATAGATATGATCCCTCAGGGAGTTGGTGTAACTGCCCGCTGTGCACATGTAGGCTGTGCAGAGTGGCTTTCCTGCAAAGAGGACAGAATGGGAAGGGGACAAAGAGTAGCTGCGCAGTGGAAGAACCTGACAAACACACCTCAGCCAGGCGATCGAGGCCAACATCAGGCAGTCACAAATCATGATGACAGCATGAAGCCCTGACGTGAAGGGACATAAATCCTAGGTGAGTGCAAGATGTCAATGACAGGGGAAAATGGGGGCCTGGGAATGATCTGTGCCATCTTCTCAATTTCTTCTGGAAGTCTAAAGCTTATTTTTTTGAAGTGTAAAGCTGTTAAAAAAAAGTGTATTTTTTTTTAAAAGACTTCTAGGAATGGGAGTGTTAGATATGCAATTTCAAATTGTTCATGCGTCTGGCATATTAAACCTTCCCGCATCCCCAAGCCTTCTGGAAGGTCTAGTGTATACTCACTTATGCTGGTGCGACAGTGGGGTGGAAAACAAAGACCTACCTCTCATCTGTCCTTCTCCTGAGACCCGTGGCAGTTGTGTCCTCTACAAAAGGACTCCAGGGCAGGCATCAGGGTCAGCACCCAGGAGGAAACAAGCAGTGACCTGTGGCACAGCTGGTGTGGCGTGAAGGAGAGAATCACAACAGGCAGCTCCAGAGTAAAGCTGAGACCCACTCTTCTTTCTCAGATACCTTAGTGGAAGATGTGTCGGCCAAGTCTAGTTTGGAAAATTAGTCTAAGTATTTCAAACAGAAGGACTGTAATAGGAGACGGGTGACAAAGCTGTTGGAAGAGTTAAAAAAGCAAAGAAGAGGGATTTTGGAGGCATAAGAAAGAATGGAGCGATACCCAGAGATGAGAAGCACGGAATGGCCATGTGCCCAGCCCTGGAATCGCCCTGAAGAGAAGCCTTGATTCTCTGACGAAATCCTCTAGACTGCTGGGGTCTGGCATCACCCACCTTTGCTAGCAAATGGCTAATGTTAGCAACTTCCAGCAACCGCTAGCAATGGCCACCCTTGGGAGCCAGAAGCAGAAGGTACCTCTTCCTGACAGTCTTCTACCAGGACCTCAGAGGGGTAGATCCTGCCAGAGGTTGGACAATGCAGTGCACACACTCCCATCCCCTGCAGAACAGAGCCAAGACCTCAAGTACAGAGGGAGGCTGAGGCGACCAGTAAGTGGCCCCTGACCAGGGCCTGGCGGATTCTTGGTTTGTACTAACTCTCAAGGCCTTCTAGAACCTTTCCTCTCCAACATTTGTACCTTCTCTTCTCAATCCCTGCCCAGACAACCAAACATCTCCACTGTGCCCTCTGGGATCCCTTCCCTCCCCAGTGCCCCTGCCCTTGCTTCCCCTACCACCCCCCTCCCCCGCCCCAAACTGGTCCACCCAGGGAGACCTGTGCTGAACGTGCACAAGTAAAAATCTTACCTGCACTTTCAAATCCTGCTCACGCTGCTCCTATTCTGCCAAACCTTCCTCTCACTGTTCTCACCTAGATGCAGAGGTGTGCTGGCTAGAAGGGAAAAAAAAGAAGCCCTGATTTACAGCAACTGTTCATTTCCATGGTTTAAATAAACACTCTAGCTGGAGCTGCTGACACTCAACTTTGGTAAGCATGTACCCGCGGACCTGGCCCCCCACACTCTCTAGTAGCAGTGTCTCTGGTGAAATTCCTTAGCCAACCACGGAGCCTGTCCCATAGCGCCCACCACTAGCTACCAGGAATTGCGGTTGTTTCTGCGCATGTCTTCACCCTACTGCCGAAGAGCATCCTGATGTGGGGGAAAGTCATGGGCTATACCCCATTCCCAGGCTCCCAGCTAGTGCCTAAACTCTCAGGGCTTCTGTTGCTCCTCTATTAAACACTGCAGCGGCAACAGCGCCCCTAACACACGGGGCTGTTACAAGAATTACAAGAGCCCACGTGTCAAAGCATCTGGGGTTAACAAGTCTCTGGCTTGTGATAGAGGTGTAAGCAGTGTTTTGTGGGCAGCCTGACTGCAGGATGGCAATTCCCATGGCAAAACAGCTCAGCGTGTTGCCTCCCATTCAGGGATTCTCAATGAATTACGGGGGGGAGACGAGGGATAGGGGGTTTTTAGCACTCTAGGACAGGAGCCATATTATGATTGTTTTTAATTACCCCTTGTAACTAGTAACTGCTCAAAAATATTCTTGTTAACATATCCATAGAAAGAATGACGTTGTTGATTGCAAGGGCAAGGTGGGGCTGGGCACAGGAGCCCAGACCTGTTCTGGGGAGTGGAGGTTGGCCAACTGGGAAAAGACAAGAGAAAACAGAGAAGAGGGGCAGAAGGAATGACAGAACCAAGCCCACAGTTTCCCTGATGAGTTTGGAAGGCCTCTTTGGCACCTCCTTTCCCTGGTGCCTTCGCACCTCTACTGGGCACAATGCATACTATTGCCTTCTCCGGAATTCTGGCTTTGGTTGAGTGGGTAATCAGGATTCCAGGGCACCAACAGCATTCTTGGTGATGACGGCAGCAGCAGCATTTTACCTGCAGCCACTGATGACATTTCCAAGTACTTAATCCAATGGGGCAGGAGAATGTGGCAATAGCACATGGTGGCAGAAAAAAAATGCTCAACTAGAAATGCAGTACAGTTAGGTACAGAAATAGCATATATTTCACAATGTGGCCCTGTTTGAATTGGTAGATACCTATCAACTAAATCCTACCTACTAACCAAATAGGCTTGAAATCTGCTTACAGCTTCAATCTGATTTTCCCAATAGGTCAAGGGTCAACAAAATCTTTTCTCACATCTCTGCTCCTCAGCTTTAATCTAAAACTCACAGGATCATAGAATCAGAGGACAGCCCAGAGTCCTGCTTGCTCTAGACGTTTCAGAGCAACAATTACAGATCAAACCCAAAATGTTAATGATAGGTAAACTAAGATTCACAGGCCTAAAGCAAGTTATTCCAGGCTCACAAGTGGGCTCTGGAAACCCTGCCTCTGTGGGAACCTAGGCTTCTGGCTCCCACGGGACGGTTCTCTCTGCCTCCAAAGGAAGTAAAGGAAGTGTCACTCAGGAGCTTCTTTTGATACTTCAGACTGGGATCTGGGCTCCTTGAAAGTAGGCCACTCCATGTGTGGGCAGCCTGACAGCAGGATGTTCCCTACCATTCAGTGATTCTCAACCAGTTCCCAGGGGGGACACCAGGGATGGGGGGAAGGTTGCATTTGAATCACGCAATCCCAGCATTTGCTCTGTGTAGTTTCAAGGCTGTAACATATGACTGCTTTGATTTATTGCTAATTGTTTACTATTCTTGGAGGTTTCTAATAAAGCTAACACAAAGTGTTTGATTTTGGCAAAATGGCCTGGCCTTCCAGGGACACTGCTAGCTCCTCTGATTTCTCCCTGGGGCTGAGGACCAGCACTTCTAGCCAGTAGCTCCCCAACATTTTCTGGGTCTCACTTGACTTGGCATCACAGGTCTGTGCGTATCATCCTTTCTTCTCTGTCGGGACCAGCTTTCTGTGGCTCCGATGACGAGCGTCTGGTATCTGTGGGCCCTCTGACACACACTTGTTTGCAGCTGGCATTCAATAAATGCTTATGGAATAAATATATCCAGCCACCACACACGCAATCTGTACACCACCGCAGTTCACCTAACTACTTGAGTATATATACACTCAACAAAAAGCTTGGAATGAAACATGTGATGACATGTTCACTGTATTTCTCGAGGCGGAGACAAAGCGCGGTTTCATCCCTTCCTTTTCCTGGTTTGTCCTAATTCTATACCACCAGCATTACGTTTTCATAGCAATAACAAACTATTTTTAGAAGAAAGACATCCCTGTCCAATCATAGTAGAGAGAGAAAAACAACGCATCGGGTTTGACTTTAGCAGTGTTTGGAAGATTAATAATTTTCGCTGCCGCTATTGTAACTGAAGCCAACACAACAGCCCACGGAACTAGACAACTTTCTGAAAGAGGCGTTCAAAAAACTTCAAAGACATGGCTAAATTTAGCACAAATATTTTTCATCGCTATATATGAGTGTCCACCGCCTGCCACCCTCTGGGCCAGATTCGGAAACCTGGAGACCGCGGTCCCGCCCTCGGGTAGGGGACGCACCTCTAAGGTACGGAACTCCAGCCGCACCTCCGGGGAAAACAGGCAGGTTCGCGCATGCGCCACCCCCGCCCCGCCCCCGGCTCGCAGCCACATTCTTCGAAAACTGAGGCGCTAGCCACGGCAATTGCGCCTGCGGGGAGAGGGAGCGGAGGGGCGGGGCGTTGGGAGCGCGAAGGAGGAGGCGGGGAGAGGGCGGAGTCGCGCGTGCGCGGTGCCGCTGCCAGCAGGAAACCCGGCGCGCGGGGGCGGGACAGCGCGGGCGGGAGGCAGGGGGCGGGGCTCTCCCGGGCCGCCGCCGCCGCTGCTGCTGCCGCCGCCGCAGCCGCTGCCGCCGCCTCTGTCTCCGCCGCCGCGCATTGTGCAGCAGGCGGCCCCCGCGCGGCAGGGCCCTGGACCCGCGCGCCTCCTGGGGATGGTGAGCAAGGCGCTCCTGCGCCTCGTGTCTGCCGTCAACCGCAGGAGGATGAAGCTGCTGCTGGGCATCGCGCTGCTCGCCTACGTAGCCTGTGAGTTCGCTCCCGGGGCCGGCGGGGAGCCCCATTCATTCCCGGGCGCCGCGGCCACGAGCCGGGGGTCGGCCGGCTGCGTGCGGCCCCTCGGCGGCCCCTCGGCGGCCCTGCTGCCGGATCTCCCGTCCCGCACCGGGCGGGACCTGCTCTCCCTGCTCTCACTCCTTTTCGGAGGCTGCGGACCAGACTCCCCCTTTCCGCTCTTGTGGCAAAGCAGCTGGCCAACTTGGGCGCAGACCCTCCAGCGCTTAGGCCCCGGCGCGGAGACCGGGCGGCCCGGAGACCGGGCGTCCCGGAGACCGGGCGGCCCAGAGGAGAGGTCCTTGCCCCGGGGCTCTGGGGCAGCCGGGCCCCGCGCGCGTCGAGACGCCTCCGGCCTCGGCCAGCCTCGCGCGCTCGGCCCCAGTCTGCTGCCTCAGTCCTCCCCGCCCCGACGCGTGGGACTCCTGTCCACGTCGCCCCGGCAGCCGGTGAGGGTCCAGCCGGCGATTCCCGAGCGTGCCGCGCGAGGACACGCTGGGGACAGCCGTGGCCGTGCCGCCGTGTTGGTTAAGTAGGATAAAAATACTGTTGCCGTTGGCGGAGCCCCCGCTTCGACTGTTTGCTCCGCAGGAAAATTACTCAGCATTTAACTATTGGGGAGCCAAGTGTTGCTGGCCCCCGCCGGCCCGTGAGGCTGACCAGCCTCATCACGGTACCTTGTTTTCATGTCAGTGGGGCCAGATGTCCCGGGGCGCGGGGTCCCCGGGGCGCAGCGGGTCGGCCCAGAGGGGAGGCGCAGCGCAGGGAGACCCAGGGCGGCGCTTTGCTGTGTACCGTGTGTATGGTTCCCCTGTCAGTCATGACTTCCAACCTCTGCCTGAGACAGGGTAGGAGGGACGGACACTCCGCAGGCAGGTGGTAGACCCTTGTCTTCTTAGAGGCGGAAACTCTTCTTTGCTTGTGTGCTTGCTTGCTTTTTTAAGAAAGATCTATTCGATGGGAGTATATTTTAATTGTGGCTATTAATACTTTACCAACTACCACGGTGGGACTAGAAATAGGTGCCAGTGTGAGCTCCGTTTGGATCCCAGCCACCAGACTATCTTAAATGAAACAACCTGCTAACTGGTTTGGTTACAAGATCTGATTCCAGAGGAGACGGGACTTGAGAAGGTGACTTGAGAAGGTGACTTCAGTTGAGCTCTAGGAGGACGTGTTATTCAGACCTAGACTGTCTAGCATAAACCAGCTCTTCCAGGAGGTGGAGTAGAGAAGGCTCAAGCAGGGCTCTCAGATCCTCGACAGTTTCCAGCTGGGGATGGGTGTTAGATGTGAGTGAGTAGTTTGAAAAGGAGAAAGCTACCCTTAAGTGTTTGTGGTCAGTCTTGAGTAAGCTGAGACCCACGGGAAAGATCCCTTGAAATTGCATAATTATTGTTATGAAATAATAATACCTAAATTTGTTTGAGTGTTTGCGAGTATGTGCAGGCATGAGTCTCATTGGCTTATTTAATTATCTCAACAATCTTGGGAAATACTTTGGTTATTCCCACTTTAGAGGTGAGGAAATTAAGACCAAGAGAAATTAGGAACATTTATGGATGATTACACATATGACAAATGATAGAGAACCAAGTTTTGAACCCAAAAAGGCCAAGGAACTTGGTGTAGAACCCAGATCTGCAGCAGGCTTAGTGTTGATTTTAGGACTTCTAAAGTTAGACAGAGGTGTTTAGAATTAATAAAAGGGGATCTAGAGAGCTATGGGACATTATTCACCATCCATTCCACCGGGAAATCCTGCCAAGTCCTTACCGTTGTCTGTGACTGTGCTTGGTGCCAGGGGAAACTGAGAAGTGCCATCTTGGCACCTAGAGGAGTGGTTCTCAAACTGGAGTGTGCATCAGAATTGCCCTGAGGGTTTTCAGAACACAGATTTTTGCCTCCACCTCAGGTTTTTGGTTGAGTAGTCTGGGATGTGCATTTCTCATAGCTTCACCTGGGGAGCTGTTGCTGTGGTCTGGAGACCACTGGCTTAGAAGGTAAAGTGGCCAAGAATGAGATAATCACCCCAATGAGGGTTAATTTACAAACTGGTATGAAGGGGAGCGTGTATGAGAGCTTATGACAGGGATTCCTGAATTAGAATGACTAGGGGCATTTGTTTCCATGAGGAGCTGAGGCTTGAGCTGAGAATTGGAGGATGTATAGCATCAGGAGGGCTAGGAGGGAATGTGTTCCAGAAGGGACAGCATGTGCAGAGGTCCTGTGGCAGCCAAGTACAGGGAGTGCTATAGGAATGCAAAGCAGGATAGTGTTTGTAGGGCACGAAAACAAGGTATCCTAATGAGACTGGTCAGCAGACAGAGGCCAGTGTGGGCCAGCTTAGGAGAGGCCTTGGGCCAGCTTATAAAATCTGTGATTTTAGTTTTGAGGGGCTTAAGAATAGGGTGGATCAGTGTTACTAATGAGCAGGGAAGGCATATCTGAGACAGTGTGGGGGAGGTGGGGGGAAAAGTTACCGGGCTCCCGGTTGGTAGTGTCCAAGGACACTGAAAATGTAAGTCAACAGGGCGCCCATTGACAATCTTGCCATCCCTATTAGGAATGGCAAGAGGAGAAATCTCTTTGAAAAAACTGTCCACACTCCCATTTAACACACCACACACACCCTCAGGGCTAGCCAGTCCCTGTTCTGGAAGTGCATTGTTTGTTCCTCTCTCAAGTTCTGCTAGTCTTTCTCCTTCTCCTTGGATCTTTCTGAAAGGTGTGGGTTTTTGTTTTGTTTTGTTTTTGTTGTTGTTTGTTTTGCCTACTTGGGCCAGAGTCTCTCTTCCTGCTCTCAGTGAACATTCTGGACCATGCCTAGGGGAGTGAGCTCATGCCACCTTGCACTGCACATGCCTGTGTTTTCTTCTCAATAAAATTCCCAATCCGTGAGGACAGGGATTGTCTCTTAAGTGTTTCAGCCTGTGTAGTACTCAAGTCAGTGCTATTAGCTATTTGGAAGAGCTCAGAGGTCTGACTGAAAATCATGCCAATCTTCTAGGCTGAGGCTCTCCAGGTGGACTTATCTTTCCCCATTTTTTTTTTTCCTTTCCCCATTTTTTAACATACAAATAGTTTGAAAAGTCAGTAGCCTCTGCAGGCTTTGTTAGACAAAACAGGGTCCCTGCCTCTCTTTGCCCCCCCACCAGAGGCAAGCACTTAACTTCCTTTCGCTGATTTTGCTATTGTCTTTGTTCCATAGGATGATACACTTCCTGATTTGTCATTTGTAGGTATTACCTAGTGACGTTATTCTTTGGAAGATGATTGTTTATTCTCTTAACCTGCCCTCCTCTCCTGTGTTCACCATCACCTGTGTAGATGTGGTGTAATTTTTTTTTTAAAAGATTTTATTTCTTTATTTGACAGGCAGAGATCACAATAGGCAGAGAGGCAGGCAGAGAGAGGAGGAAGCAGGCTCCCCGTGGAGCAGAGAGCCCGATGCAGGGCTCAATCCAGGACTCTGGGATCATGACCTGAGCCGAAGGCAGAGGCTTTAACCCACTGAGCCGCCCCAATGTGGTGTAATTTTGAGATCAACACTTGGTATATATTTGTATGACTAAATGTTGTTCTGATTGTTAGTGAGCCATGCTGTCAGTGACTTTTTGTTTTCCCTGGAGCTAATCATTGACTTTTCTTTTCTTTTTGCATTCTCTATGGACTATTTCTGATTCAACACCAAAGACTTTGTCTGTTGTTTGCTGTGTCTTCCCCCCAAGATGTTCAGGAGCAGCGGACCTCTTGATGGGGTGCCTTCCTGAAGAAGGGCCCCCAGAGCCTTTGGACCTGCCCTGCCCATCACAGACGTCCTGTTTCCCAACTTACCCTGACTTATTTCACACTTCTTTCACTTGGACAAGCACTGTGGAGGTGAATCTAGAGACCGTCATAAGTGCCTTTCCTCGCTTTTACCCCGTAGATTGTTGATGTCAAATTCTAGAAAAAGATTCCCTTCAGAACTTTTCAGGAATTGTTTCATTACTTTCTGGCTTCTAGTGTTGACAAGTTGTTTCAGGTACATCCCTTTCCATGGGACATGTGTTTTCCTTTGGGAAGATTGTGGGATCTTCTTTTGGCCCATGATAGTCATCACCGACCGCCCATTTCCAGCTTTCTGCCCCTGGCCTTTTCCTCATTCCTAGTCCCCGTGCCCAGGAGCAGAGCTGCAGAACCCTGCTGCACTTCTGGGCCCAGTGAGTAGTCGAGAACATGTTTCCTCCTCTGGTTTGATAACTGGCATCATTCAAGGTGATGGTACTTAGTGCGCAGCCCCCTCCCCCCTTCCCGGAGTGACTTCAACTTGAAGAATACATCTTTGTTTTTAAGTCTCTGAGGGTCTGGGCCTACTCGCTCTTTGCTGCAGCTCAGCAGAACCTGCCCTGCCCAACCTGTCTCCTGTGGTCTGAGGTGTGCCTGGCTCACCTCGCATGCCTCCGTGTCCCACGTACTGGGTACTGCAGAGTCCCCTGGCAACCCAGCAACTCTTGTGGTTTAGTTCCTGGGATTTTCTTAAATTATTCCTTGGTTGTTTCCTCTCCTCCATTCTGTGTTTTTTCTCTCTGGAATATTATTACACTGATGTAGTATTGCCTGCTCTAGTCCTTTTATTTCCTTTATTATTTAAAAGGTCTGCTCTATTTTTTGGAAACTTCCGCTTTGTATTTTAAGGCTTCTGGTGATTTTTTAAAAATTTATTTTTGCTATCATTTTCCATTTATAAGAGCTCTTTTCCCTCTGGATTAAAAAAAAAAAAAAACCTAAAAAAATGTGTCTTCATTTTATGGTTGTATTCTCTTCTTGGAAGTTTTGTTTGGGCTTTGTCACATTGAAGAGTCTCTTCCCTCTGGGTCCCTTCCCATTTTTCTTGTTCGAGGCTTTCCTTGGCTTTCTGGTGGCCCTAGGTTGTCTGCTCCTGTTTGGGAGGAGTACCGTAGGTCTGTCCTCCGGGCTCTGAGCTCTGGTGA